AAAAAATTTTTTTTAGAGTGAGGGAGAGGGAGAAAGGGAACACACTCATGTGAGAGCATAACACCCACCAGCGGCCTCCCGCACACCCCGCACCGGATCGAGTCCAAGACCCGGGCACGCGCCCTGACCGAGAGCCGAACCCGCAACCGCCGGGCGCACAGGACGATGCCCACCCCACCGAGCCGCTGGCCAGGGCGCCATCCAGGGCCCTTCTCCAGTGCGCGGAGGTTCCCCAGATCTCTCTCTTCCCGGCCTCATCTAGGTCCATCGTGGCCGGAGAGTGTGCCTTGCGTAGCTGGGGTCCGTGGACGCCTTTCACGGGTTGTCTCGTGGCCCGTGGGTGGTGTAACTCGGAGACTGCTTCCGTGCACTTAGACGTCACTGTCTGCTTCTGTTCCTGGTGGGGTCTGCCCTCAGCGTCCATCGGGTCCAGCCGGGAGGCCGCGCTACTGGCCTTTTCCCTTCGTTAAACGTTCCGCTCCCGCGCTCCGTCCAGCACGAAGGGAGGGGGGTGGAATGTCCTCCTGTGGCGGGAGCTTGGACCTTCCTCCTCCGGCCGGATGTCAGGATGGCCCCCCCACCCCCGCTCACCCTTCACGGTGAGGGAACCACCTCCTTTATCCCTGGTAATCATCTTTGCTCCAAAAGCTATGTTTTTATTTTTTATTTTAAAAAATATATTTTTTATTGATTTCAAAGAGGGAGGGAGAGAGAGACATCAATGATCAGAGAGAATCATGGATCGGCTGCCTCCTGCACGCCCCCCACTGGGGATGGAGCCCGAAACCCGGGCCTGTGCCCTGACCGGGAATTGAACCCTGACCTCCTGGGTTCATAGGTCGATGCTCAACCCCTGAGCCGCGCCGGCCGGGCCAAAATTTACCCTTTTACATACTAAAACGGACACTCCAGCTTCCGTTCCTTTTCCCCAGTTTTGTAAGAACCTGGGAGCTCTGAGACCTCTCGAGGGGCAGGTTCCCACAGGGGTGGCCGTGGGCACTCATTTCCCAGAAGCCCAGGCTGCCGTCTGCTCTCTTCTCTCTCCTGAGAGTTACCTGGCTTCAGAGTGGGGACCCCCATTGCTACCCGACGGCTCTGCTGGCCGAGGGGTGACTGTGGACACAGCCCATGACCCTCCCGGTCACCATCCTCCTAAGACACGTGGCCCCGGGCCACCTGGCTCCAGGCAGGTGCTGGCCTGCAGGCCACTCCAGAGCGGGAAGGCCAGGTGGCTGCCAGGAGGATGCTATAGGGAGGCAGGAGCCAATCGGCAGTGGCGCAGGCCGGCGGTAATCCTGGGGGGCTCCCCCAGCCAGACCCGGAAGGTGCCTCCTGGCAAAGGGGTCTCCCTACTACTCCACGCCCAGAGGTCCCGGCCCTCGGCCCTGGGCCCTGGTCTAGTGACCCTTGTCAAACACCTGGCGGCTATGGCCTCCTGACGGGCAGGACAAAACTCTCCATTAATGGGGCTTCCTCAGGCCCCGTCCCCTCAGACCCCAACATTCCCCCCCCCCCCACAGTCAGCGGGAAACTCTTCTGACCTCCTACTTCCCCAGGGACCCGGCCTGCGCTGCCACAAGGCTGCTGCCCACCGGCTCCATCTCAGCGCCCTCAGGGCAGGTGGGAGAGGGAGGCCCAGGCCAAGAGGGGCAGAACCGAGGAAAAGGGAGGAGGGCCAAAGGTGGGTGAATGGCTGGAGTGACCCGGCCCCGGAGGCAGGAAGATTTGGGGGGAATACGGGACCAGACGGGACGGAGAGAGCTGCAGGGCGGGGGGGTTGGTAGATGGTTGACCCGGGTTGGAAGTGGTCAGTGCCAACCTTCAGGCCCTGCGTCAGGGCTCCCCAAGGCCCAGGGCGCACGGAAACCTCAGGCAGAGAGTGTGCAAGAGGTTGGGGGAACCCGGCCAGCGTGGCTCAGTGGTTGAGCATCTACCTACGAACCAGGTCACGGTTGGATTCCTGTCAGGGCACATGCTGGGGTTGAGGGCTGGGCGGATCAATGATTCTCCCTCATCACTGATGTTTCTCTCTCTCTCTCTCTCTCTCTCTCTCTCTCTCTCTCTCTCTCTCTCTCTCCAATAGAAAGACGCTTTGGAAACCTGGACTCCCCACCTCAGCGCGCTACCTGGGCTCCTTGCTCCCCGCAGGTCTGCGCGGCCGCCTCCCATCCCGGGTGGAGGGATCCCAGGTGGGCAGCGCGCCGGGAACAGGTGTACGTGGAGGTGCGCGCTCCGGGGCGCCAGGGGAGGGCGGGGCGGGGCGGGGCGCAGCTTTGTTAGAGACGCTCCCTCCCGGGAGCCACGCGCCTGGCGTCTGCGCTTCCTCCCGGGGGCTGGGCGTGGGCCGAATAGACGGCACGCGATTGGCTGAGACCGGCGGCCGCCTCTCACTGGGCGGGGCGGGGTGCGGGCGGCGGGGTCCGCGCCCCAAGCTCAGGGGCCGCGCCCTCCCCTCCTCCGCGCGCTGCGCCTGCGGGCGACTGGCCACGCTGGGGACTGGCGGCTGCGCGTGGAGGTGGGGGTGCCAGACCGTCGCAGACCCGTGGTCTGCTCTCGTGCAGCGGGGTTCGCACCGGGGAGCTGCTGACAGCGCCCGGAGCCTTGGGAGGGGGCGGTTGCACGCGGGACCTGCGTCCTGCGTCTTGGGGGGCGCACTGAGCACCTGCTGTGAGCGGGGGCTTACGGGGACCTGCGGACTGTACCTGGGGTGTGGGCGCATCCGGGACCTGCGGACAGTGCCCCCCGGGATGGGTGGGGGCCGCGCTCCCCGCTGGGCCTTCGCAGGCTGTGCGCGAGGGGGAGGGCGAAGCGTGGCTGGAGGGCGAGGCGAGGGGAGGAGGGCGTGTGAAGGAGGCGGCGGCGCGGAGGAGGGTTATCTGTACATTTAAAACCAGCCGCCGCGTCGCCCGGGGAGGACCTGGGAGCGCCCGGCTGCACGCGCGGGACACGAGCGCTCCACGCCCGGGCGCCCACGGCCGCCGTCTCCGGGCCTCGTGCGCCTCGCGCCCCAGAAGACCCGGGACGCGGACCCCAGCGGTGGCTGAGGGGCGCCGTGCCGCAGGCCCCCTCGGGGCGTGGCCGTCGTCCCCGCACCCCCAGTTCCTCCGCCTGCACCTCCCTGCCGTGCGCCGGGGCTGGTGGGTGCGGGTGCGATGAACGGCGGCGCGCTGCCCCGGACCGCGGCCCCCGCGCGGGGCGTCTCCGGTGGCGGCACCGCCCGGCGGCGACCCGCGTCCCCGGAGCTGCTGCGCTGCAGTCGGCGGCGGCGGCCGGGAGCGGAGGGCACCGGGGGCGGCGCGGCGGCCGTGGCGCGGCGCAACGAGCGGGAGCGCAACCGCGTGAAGCTGGTGAACTTGGGGTTCCAGGCGCTGCGGCAGCACGTGCCGCACGGCGGCGCCAGCAAGAAGCTGAGCAAAGTGGAGACGCTGCGCTCGGCCGTGCAGTACATCGGGGCGCTGCAGAGCCTGCTGGCCGAGCACGACGCCGTGCGCGCCGCGCTGGCCGGGGGGCTCCTGGCGCCCCCCGCGCGGGCCCCCGCCCCCCGCGCGCCGCCCGAGACCCCCGCGGACGCCGCCTCGCCCTCCTGCGCCTCCTCGTCCCCAGGCCGCGGGGGCAGCTCGGAGCCCGGCTCCCCGCGCTCCGCCTACTCGTCCGACGACAGCGGCTGCGAGGGCGCGCTGAGCCCCGTGGGGCGCGAGCTGCTCGACTTCTCCAGCTGGTTGGGGGGCTGCTGAGCGCCCGGCCCGCGAGGTACCGGCGGGTCGGCAGGGACGAGGGGTTCGGAGGCCGGGATGGCGCGGGGGAGAGGACGGGCCCACGGCTCGCGCCCCTGTCCGCCAGGGGAGCCGCGCGCCAGGCCCGGCGACAGCTTAGATTTCGCTCGCTGTTCATTTCCCCCCAACTTTTTCAAGCCTGTGCACGACCGGCGTTTGTTTGTCCGGGATTGCAAAACTTCCTCTCGCTGCTCTGCCGCCGAGGGGGGAGGGCGGAGACGGGGGGAGGGTGGTGGCTGGCGGGGGGGGGGGGGGGGGCACGGCCCTGGGGCGGGTGAGGCCCCGCTGGCGAGCGGATCCCGGGCCGATCGGGGCGCTGGGAGGCGGGGTGACTTTGCATTGCAAATCGCAAGCCGGGCAGAAAGGAGCCGGCGGTTCGGAGCCTGACTCACCCTGCTGGGCGCCGCCCCGCCCCACAGGGAGGCTCTGGCCACAGACCGAACCGCGGCACCCGCAGCCTCGCGCTCCCAAACCGACCCAACAAACCGAGCTGCCGCCCGGATGGTGGGGGAGGAGGCGGGGCGGGATCCCGCACTGACGTGCCTCCTGTCGCCCTTGCTTCCCGGCAGCTCAGCCCCGATGCCCAGCGCAACTCGATCCCCAGCGAGGAGCCAGCGAGGAGCCAGCACAGGGGCGGCCTGGCCTCCGTCCCGCCGCCTGGGGAGCCGCGCCGTCTGCGAGCCCGCGCCCACCCGCGCCCACCGACCTGACTCCCTGCGTCCAGCCTGACCACGTGCCAGTTTGAAACAGGTCCCGGCCGACCTCCCCGGGTGGCGGCGTCCTGGGACCCTGACTGCCACCTCCAGACTGTCTGCTGGCACCGGGCTGGGCACCAGCGCGCAGTTTTCCTGAAGGGAGACGCGATTTGCGGACACAGCACCTACTTTTTATACGTTCCCTTGAACTACCCAGGGACCCTGGCAACGTGAAACTCATTTTTATACAAAGACTCCTTAACTGGGAACACAATAAAGATGGTTTAGCCCCACGACCTGGGGTTTTCCAACCTGGCCGAGATCTGGATGCCCCTGGCAGGGTCCCCACGCCCTGGGCTGCTGCAGGGCGGCCCTCCCGCTGGGGGGGGGGGGGCAAGGCGGGCTTTCTCGGTCACCTGTGCTGGTGGCAGGGTCTTGGGGACGCCTTGCAGACCCTCAGGCCCTGTTCCCAGGAGACGGGTGGAGGGTGTTGGTCCCGACCCTGGGCCCTGCCAGCCCGGCTCCTGTCTCTTCTCCCCAGGCCCCACCTCTTCTCTGCAGGTGGGAGTCCAGGCGGGGCTGCTCCCAGCTGAGAACTTGAGGTCTGGAAGCTGCTGACCAACCCGGGAGTCTGGGCCAGGCCCAGGCCCAAGGTGATGGTCCCACTTGGCAGCCCACCCTCTGGGCCAGGGTTCAGATGGCCACTTCCTGCCACTCCTGGGTGACCCTGGACCAGTTGCTCGGCCTGCAAATGCGAGTGACCCCAGAGCCACCCGCAGGGTTGTAGGGGACTCAGGATGTGTCTGGCTCCCCGTGGCCGGCTTCTGACCACTGTGCCTGAGCCTGAGCTGCCTGGGGAGGAACAAGGCAGGGCTCCCCCCGCCCCCCCCTGCCCAGGCCCCCCAGCTCAGAGGCCCCGCAGAGATTGCTGGCGGGCGCTACCTTTGACCTGGGCCCGGCAGCTTTGAAGTCTAGGCCCAAAGCTCTATTTTATTGCAGGGGTGGGGGCGGGGATCCCCCAGGCTGTTTTAAGGTGCCGAAGGCACCCCTTCTTTCAGCAGGGAGTGCTGGGGTCAGAGCCGTTGGGACCCTGGGCGGCTGGCAGAGAGCAGATGTCTTGTGGGTACCCATGGTGATGGGCGGGGGGTGAGGTCAGACTTGGCGGAGTGAACTGGCCTCTAGGGGACAGGAGGGGGCATGGTCACCCCGCAGTCTTCTGGGACCTCACTGAGCCACAGGCCCTGGGCTCTCCTGCGACTCTTTGCCTTGACCCCAGGAGAGGTGTGGATGCAGGTGGGGGGGGGGCAGGGGGGGCCACGTGAGTTTGGGGAGGGAAGCCTGGGAGGATGGGGCGTCAAGGGTGCCTGAGAAGGGGCCACATTTACTCCCACGTAGTTTTGAAGCAAATCCCATACACTGTATCGTTACACCCCTGACTGCTCCAAAGACAGGCCCATCCCACGCTCGCCCAGGTGCACACCTGGCCCTCCGCTTCTTTGGGTGCCCAGCCAGCGGCCTGGGCTCTGCCCGTCCATGTCCACAGCAGCCGGCGCTCAGCCTCTGACCGTCCATGTCCACAGCAGCCGGAGGCCTGGCCTCTGCCCGTCGGCGTCCACAGCAGCCGGAAGCCTGGCCTCTGCCCGTCGGCGTCCACAGCAGCCGGAGGCCTGGCCTCTGCCCATCGGCGTCCACAGCAGCCCGAGGCCTGGCCTCTGCCCGTCGGCGTCCACAGCAGCCGGAAGCCTGGCCTCTGCCCGTCGGCGTCCACAGCAGCCGGAGGCCTGGCCTCTGCCCATCGGCGTCCACAGCAGCCCGAGGCCTGGCCTCTGCCCGTCGGCGTCCACAGCAGCCGGAGGCCTGGCCTCTGCCCGTCGGCGTCCACAGCAGCCGAAGGCCTGGCCTCTGCCCGTCGGCGTCCACAGCAGCCGGAGGCCTGGCCTCTGCCCGTCGGCGTCCACAGCAGCCGGAGGCCTGGCCTTTGCCCGTCAGTGTCCACAGCAGCCAGCGCACGGCCTCTGACCGTCCGTGTCCACAGCAGCCGGAGGCCTGGCCTCTGCCCGGCAGCGTCCGCAGCAGTTGGTGAACGGCCTCTGGCGGTCAGGTCAGCGTCCACAACGGGCTTCGCAGACTGAGGCCCCGCCCAGGGCCACGGTCGATTTGCTTTCGGGGCCTGTGCGGCCGCCGTGCATGTTTCTGAGTTGAAGAAGCGGGCTGTTTGTTCGGCGTCTCCGGTGTCCTGGCGGCTGCTGCTGGCCCCTCCTGGGCGTTGCCTGCCACCGTCTGTCCCTGTACTTTGTTGCTTTAAAAACTACGTGGATTGATGTCAGAGAGGAGGGGAGAGGGAGAGAGACAGACACCGGTGATGGGAGAGTCACGACCGGCCGCCTCCCGCACGCCCCGCACTGGGATGGGCCGCCGCCCGGGCCTGTGCCCCGACCGGGATTGAACCGTGACCTCCCGGTTCATAGGTCGATGCTCAACCTCTGAGCCCCGCCGGCCGGGCCAGGGAGGGCATTTTTGAGGGTAAAGGGCAGTGGTGGGCGACCAGCCAGGACAGCAGGTGTGCCACCCGTCACCCCCGGGAGAGCGTCCGCGCACCGTCACTGCCAGAGCCAAGCGGGGCCCCTACCACGGGATCGGAAACGGCGGCTCCCGGAGGTGATGGAGGGGGAGAGGGTGGTTGGCCCTGAGTCAGGGGTTCCCAGCGTGGGGCGCGCGCCCACAGGGGGACCATTTGACGTTGAAGTGGGGGCAGTTCGAGACGAGTTATTCACGATGTTTTTGCATTTCTTATGGTTCCAGGGGCCTCGTACACAGCATATAAATATATGTCGAGATACGTTTATGCATTTCAGTTCTCTAGGATATGCGTGAAACTTCATTTGCTATTTTTTTTTTGGCAGCACAGCCGTGCCCAAAGGCAGCCTCGCCTCTGAGCCCCTGGCTGGGCTGGGTCGGGAACCCACCTCTCACCCCTGCTGTGTTCGCCTGGGGAGGGGCCCAGGGGAGGGGAGGGGCCACGAAGGCTGCTCCGGTGACGTGGACCCTCCTGTGCTCGCTGTGCGGCCTGGAGGGCTTGGGAGGGAAGGTCACGCAGTGGACGGCTCTCGAGTGGGCACTGGAGGGGGGAGGGCAGGGGTGGTGTGGGCTCTAGTCCCATCTCCCAGCGCCCCAGGGGCCCCCAGGATGGGGAGGGATGGAGGCGGGGGAGGCAGCGCCTGCTGCTGGGGGTGGAGGAGGGATAAAGGTTGAGGGGACCCCCTGTGGGGCTGTCCTAGGCTCAGCCTTTGCTCCCATAAACACGGGGAGTGGGTCAGGTGACCCTCGGGGCTGCCCAGTGCCGGCCGTCCCGAGTCTGTGGGTGGGTCAGCCCTGAGCTCTTAGGAGTGACGGCGGTGGGGACAGGTCCCCCGGAGTCCAGCCCCTCTCAGGGGTCATGTCCCCACCTCTGGGCCCGGGAGCTCAGTGAGAGGCCTGAGGCCCAGGTGCCAGAGGTGCGTGGGGTTCGCAGGCGGCAGGGCCTCCCATCACGCTTCCTCGCGCCCCACACCCGCCTGGAGGCCGCTGTTGCTGGTCTGCTGGGAGCAGGAGCTGGGGGGTCTGTCAGCCCCGAGGGACAGAAGCCAGGCCGCCAGCCAGGCCACCGACGCCCGGTCCTGGGTGCTGGACGGGGCCGAGCACCCTGCCGGCTCCCAGGCTTCTCCAGCCGGGGTTGGAGGAAGAGGAGGAGAGAGGGACGGATGGAGGAGCGTCTGGGGCCTGTCCCCACTCCCGCCCACCCCCTCCCAGGACCCCCAGGGGTTCCTGCCTGGGACCCTGTGATTAATGGGGCACATCAGTCACCCAGGGGCCCCGGATGCCACAGGAGCTGCCATCAGCAGGCCAGCCTTGCCCCCTGCGGCGCCCTCCCCCCTCCAGGCTGGACCCCCACCCCTACACAGTGAAAAGGCCTTTGTCACCAGAGCTGTGAACATCCAGGGGCGGGGGGGGGCTTGCTGGGGGGGATCAGCACCCCCAGAGCAGCCCTGGCCCAAGGCCACACACCTGCTCGGCTCACCCACCCAGCGGGGGCCAGACCCCTGGGACACGGTCAGGGGCCCAGCGTGATCGCCCTCGGGTGGGCTTGGCAGAGTCCGGCAGCACCCGGGCCCTGGCGGCTGGAGAGGCTGCTGCGGCCCCAGAACTGGGCTAAGCCGGCAGGAGCCGCTGTCCTGGTCCTGGAGGCCCAGGTCCTCGCTCCCCCTTCCCGGCGTCTGCATCCTCGCACCCCCTTCCCGGCGGGAGGAGGCCGCCCTCGGGACCTGCTGTGACGTCACCTCCACGCCGAGGCTGCTCCCACGTGCGGCCGCTCCAAGCTGCAGGGCTCAGGGCGCCACCGTGTGAATTTGGGGGACACACCTCAACCTGTGACAAAGGGCGTTCCAGGAACCCAGCTTCGGGGGCCCCTGCCCTCCCTCCTCCCCCTTCTCTGCTGGGACAGCCTCACCCGTGGGTGGCCACTGTCCCTCCCGGCCCCCTCGTGGGCACAGCTGGCTCAGCGGGCGGCCACGGGCCCCTCGGGGGGTGGGCACTGCTGGGGACACAGACCAGGGTCCCTGAATGGCCTCGGACAAGACACCTCTCCTCCTGGGACCCCCTGAGCCCACGGAGGGTGAGCCAGGCTCCCGGCCTCTTCAGGGAGGGCCCCGCGTGCACTTCCTCTGACATCATGTGACAGGCCCCAGCGCTGTCCTCACACCCCGGACGGGGGCCGGCCCTCGGTGGGTGTCATGGGAGCTCGGCACCACAGCCCTGTGTGCGGACCCACTGCCTCCCCTGCTCGTCCAGTTGGGCTCCGTGTGGTTCCGGCCTGGCCCGCTCCCCCCTCCCCCGTGGCCTCCCCCAGCTCAGCTGCCTGCCTGGTGTCAGTGAGGAGGTGCCCCGCCCAGTGCCCGGAGGCCTCCCCTCCACCCGCCTCCTCACCTGGCATTTGCCTACAAGCCCCGGGGCTCTGTCCAGGCCCCAGCCCTGGCCCTCCACCCCATTGATAAGCATGCAAATCTCTAAATTAAATCCAATCAACACCCAAATGAGGGCCTGGGAGCAGCTCCTGCAGCCGCCACCCCTCCCGCTCAAATATTTGTCTCTCATTTGAATGTCTTTTGTGACTCAAAAAGGGGCCAGAAGACAAAGCCCATGCCCGCCAGCCTGCAGGCGAGGTGTGGGGAGATCTGAGCTCTACCAGGCTCACCCCCTTCTCTCTCCCGGGCCCTGCACGCCCTCGCCCCCACCTCACGAGGCCTTCAGGGGCCCCATGGCCCCTGCCTGACTGCCTC